CTAATTAAAAATCAGTTTTGTAGTGTTGTTGTTTTTTAAATATATTTTATTGATTTTTTTACAGAGAGGAAGGGAGAGAAATAGAGAGTTAGAAACATCGATGAGAGAGAAACATCGATCAGCTGCCTCCTGCACATCTCCTACTGGGGATATGCCCGCAACCAAGGTACATGCCCCTGACCGGAATCGAACCTGGGACCCTTCAGTCCACAGGCCGATGCTCTATCCACTGAGCCAAACCGGTTTCGGCCAGTTTTGTAGTTTTTGGTAGACAGTTTAATAAAAATATATACAGATATAGACCCAAAGATTTGTTTAATATTAATGTTTAACAAAGAAATGTTATATCTTGTGTGTTATATTATAAGACTCAAAAACATGCACATGACCTATACATAAAATGTAACATAAGCAGACCTATATAATTCCTAATATTGGCAGTGGGAGAGTTAAGGTTCTATCCTATATAATAAAAGCCTAATATGCTAAGTGTCCGGTTGGCCGTTCAACCAATCAAAGCATAATATGCTAATGATATGCTAAGGCCGCTCAACCTGTTGCTATGACATGCACTGACCACCAGGGGGCAGATGCTCCAACTGGTAGGCTAGCTTGCTGCTGGGGTCTGGCTGATCGGGACTGAGCGAGACGGGCCGGACATGCCCTGGAGCCCTCCTGTGGTCCCTCCCTGGCTGGCCAACCTCCCACATCCCTCCCTGACCCCCGATCATGCACCGGTGGTGCTCCTCAGCCTGGCCTGCACCCTCTCGCAAACTGGGACCCCTCAGGGGATATCGGAGGGCCGGTTTCGGCCCGACCGCAGAACAACCAGTCGCTATGATGTGCACTGACCACCAGGGGGCAGATGCTCAATACAGGAGCTGCCACCTGGTGGTCAGTGTGCTCCCAGAAGGGGAGTGCTGCTCAGCCAGAAGCCAAGCTCATGGCTGGCAAGTGCAGCAGCGATGGGGGGAGCCTCTCCCACCTCTGTGGCAGCGCTAAGGAGCGGGCCTAAGCTGGCAGTTGGACATCCCCCGAGGGCTCCTGGACTGTGAGAGGGTGCAGGCCGGACTGAGGGACCCCCTTCCCCCTCCCTGAGTGCATGAATATCATGCACAGGACATCTAGTCTATATATACAAAAGCCTAAGTGACCATTACAACCGTAGACCAAACAACTGGTCAACCGAACGACCGGTAGACTGGTTGTTATGATGTGCACTGACCACCATGGGGCAGACGCTCAACGCAGGAGCTGCCCCCTGGTGGTCAATGCGCTCCCACAGCCAACCTACTGTGGCTGGCCAACCTCCCACTGTCCCTTCCCCCGGCTGGCTGGGTGGTTAGTGCACTCTTACAGCCAACCTCCCATGGCTGGCCAACCTCCTGTGGTCCCTCCTCTCCCCCCCCCCGCCCCCCCCCCCGATCGGCCCCAATCGCTGGCCAGGCCAAAGAACCCCACCCGCGCATGAATTCATGCTCCGGGCCTCTAGTGTTCATATAATGCAACTATAAGGTAGACTACTCTGTAGCCAATAACAGAATCTGTTTGTTTACCTATTTACCCACCTACTTACCTAGTTTGTTTAACTATTTAATTAAATGGAAAAATAATAGTAACTTAAAAAGTGACAATGTAAAGACATAACCTATCTATACTAATAAAAGAGTAATATGCAAATTGGTCACAATGCCCTCATAGTCACGACTGGATATGCTAATTAGTCACGACCAGTATGCAAATTGATCATCACTCCAACACACAAGATGACCACCCCCATGTGGTCAAAGAGGGCTGCCACAAGATGGCCTGCAGGGAAAGGTAGTTGGGGGTGACTGGGCCAGCAGGGGAGCAGTTAGTCATTGATCAGGCTGGCAGGGGAGCGGTTAGGGGGTGATCAGGCTGGCAGGCAGGCGAGCAGTTGGGAGCCAGCAGTCCTGGATTGCAAGAGGGATGTCTCACTGCCCATTTAGGGCCTAAAGGGGCAGTCGGACATCCCCTGAGGGGTCCCAGATTGGAGAGGGTGCAGGCTGGGCTGAGGGACACCTCCCAGTGCATGAATTTCGTACACTGGACCTGTTTGACTGTTTCACCATTTGACTGTTCGATCAGTCTCTATGACACTCACTGACCCCCAGGCGGTAGATGCTCCGACCGGTTGGTTAGCTTGTTGCTGGGTCAGGCAGATCAGGACTGGGTGAGACGGGCCGGATGCACCCTGGAGCCCTCCCGTGGTCCCTTCCCGGCCCCAATCAGGAATGGGCGAGATGGGCTGCACATGCCCTGAAGCCCTTCCACGGTCCCTCTCGGCCGGCCAATCTCCTGTGGTCCCTCCCTGGCCAGGCCGAGGGACCCTACTGGTGCACGAATCTGTGCACTGGGCCTCTAGTCTATATATATAAAAGCCTAAGAGACCGGCCGACTGATAGCTATGGCATGCACTGACCACCAGGGGGCAGACGCTCAACGCAGGAACAGAAACCACAGGCATGGAAACATGGAACAGACGGATGAATCTCAGAGGGAAGCGGGGGGGGGGGGGGGCGGGAAGAGATTAACCAAAGATCTTATATGCATACTGGAGGCAGGTTCACGGATTCGTGCACCAGTGGGGTCACATGGCCTGGCCTGAGTCCTCTCGCAATCCGGGACTTCTCGGGGGATGTTGGAGAGCCAGTTTTGGCCCGATCCCTGCAGGCCAGGCCAAGGGATCCCACCAGTACACAGATCCGTGCACCGGGCCTCTAGTGTGAATTATAATATCCTTATATCATCACAAATTTTTAAAGCATATTTACATAGACAATAAATTAGAAGGCAGTATACAAAAGTACTAATGATGATTATCTCTAAGAACTACAGGAAAATAATTTTTGTTAACTTTAAATTGTTATTACAGATTTTCTAATACAAACGTATTTATATTCAGAAAGTTGAAAATAGATTTAGGTTAAAAAACAAATATCTAATATTTCATTATATGCCTTTTTGAAAAGAATGTACTTACTGTAAAGACATATTTTTTGTGATGAACTATATGCAGAAATTAATAACAAGGGATCTACAGAGTCACTAGGCAGGGCTGATCAGACTGCATTCCTGGCTGCCATTCATATTAGACTGTGGTGTGTACCTGTGCATCTGGTATCGTGCTTCCTGGAAATGTGGGGCCCAGCATCCCTGGGAATGATAAAGAGCATTGTGTCCCTATGTTTAATATATCTGGAAATTGCACAGCTGTTAGTTCTTCTGTCTGTATAAATTACTTCAGCTGGGCTATTGGGTAAGTTTTATGTGTAGATGTTTCTTCTGTGTTATGTACTTACTTCTCACACTTCCTTAATGGATCTTTATAGTCCATTGGACTAACATTGTAGTTGGTGATCATATCTCACTGCACATGTGGTTCCTCAGTTTACAGTGGAGGGTTGATCTATATTGTTTGAATTAAGCACTTTTTTGGCACTGAAAGGCATGAATGATACTGTTGAACCACACCCACCTTTTCCTGTAAACTCTCCTGTGGTATGCAGTTTTTCCTTTGTGCTTTCCTGTTTTTTTGATGAATCATAATCTAAATAGGAGACATTCTTTTGGTAAATATTTCACGTATGAATTTTTATATGCATCTAGTAGACTGTGTGAATCAAGAACATTTGTGCATCCGCTATAGAGCTGTTTTACTTCCTTGGGGGAAAAATCTAGCTGCACCTTGAAAATTGATAGAATAATTGATAATATACATACCAAATGTGTTTTTCTTATAATTTGTAAACAAGTTCTAATACTACAAAACATGAGGAAGTAATAGACCTCAAGGTTTGGATCATTTGCAGAAGGATAAAAGCCTTTTCACCATCACCTTCCATAGTTCTCTTTATTAGCAAATCTGTATTCACACGTAGTATTGCTATGTTTGGGTTTGCAGAGAATCTACTGGGAGTTAGACAGGTAGTAACTAATTATAGTCATGTCATAAATTATGCAATAGTGGGATGAAGAAGGTGCTGTGGGAGCACTTTAACTGGGTAGAGGTTAAGGAAGGCTGTTTATGGATATCACTTGAGCAGGTGAGTAGGTTTCTAAGGAGTGGGAGAAGGCCACCTAGGACAGCCTGGCAAACAGTGTATGCAAAGCCTAGAAAGGGACATAGGAGCATGATGTGTTTGGGGCAAACAAGTGCAGCTGAGTGTGAATTATGGTAATTACTTGAAAGGATCAAAATGATTTAAAAGTAGACAAAGTTGTAGTTGGAGGATAAGTAGAAGTATTAATGATTTGGAGTAACCCAAACTTCAGATATCTCTGTAAGCAGGAAGTTGCTCATGCTTTTTATTCTTGACAATTTGTGTATAATCTCAAGAAATTAAATATGTAACATATTCTTATGCTTCAAGAAGATATTGCTACTTTAAAATGTTCTTACTTTTAAAATTAGATATAAATAGGTAACATTAAGAGCTATACTGTTTCCAGCAAGTTGATTCAATATTCCATTCAGTTTGTTAATATTTTCTCCTGTGAGCAGCTCAAGCCACTTTTATTGTGCAGATTCTTTGCAGATTTTGCCTTACCAGAATGTGAATTGTTTGGAGGATGAAATAATTAAAGATTGCTCTTTTTTTTTTTTGTACAGCAAATAATGGTTTTAGAAAAACAGATTGATATTTACTGCTATTTTTTTTCCATTTTGCTTCCAAAGATTGTTAGAATGTATACTCTGAATCTTTTTTACTATATCAAGAAATAGAAATGTAAATTGTAATTTTTACTGTTAACAAAATAGTTATTTCATCTAGAAATATTTACATTCTAATGTGAAAAATAAAATAATGTCATGTGGGTGACTTACCTTAGCTCTAGTACTGTTTTGCCTGCTTCATTTTGTATTTCTCCAGTGCTACACCACCACATATTTCAAGCATATGTATAAAATCTTAATTTTATTTTTCATTTGGAAAGCACTTTGAAGATTCGGATTTGATGTTAAAGAAACCAAGACAGAGTTGGAGACTGGTTTGCTTCCTCTAAAAATATTCTCTAGGGCAAAAACTCCTCTGCGCATCTTTGTGGACCCAGTGTCTAGCCAAGTAGATAAAGATCAATCAAATAGGTGAATATATCTTTTTATTCTCAGAGCCTGAATTACACTAATTTTTTTTTTTTTACTTCCAATTAGTCCAATGTTCTTTCCTAGCCACTGGTACTTTCTCATCTGATTTACTACTGCAAAATGGATTTATAAAACAGCAGCATTCCCAAGGTTTCAAGTAATGTATAAATCATAACTGCCAGCTATCATAACCCCCCCCCACCCACCCACTCTCACAGGAAATCTAAGCTTAATATGTGAGGACAAGAGGACTATCTGGGCTGAGAACCGATGGCTATGCTAGGTTATTCCTGAATGAAGTAGAATTCCACACTCAACGATGGATAGACTTTGTGCTCTTCAATATACTGTTCACACTTTTTGTTGTTGTTGCTAATCCTCATCTGAGGATATTTTTTCTATTTATTTTTAAAGAGAGTGGAAGGGAAGATTGGAGGGAAAAAGAGAGAGCGATTCATGTGATAGAGACACATTTATTGGCTGTCTCCTGCATGCACCCCAACCGACCAGGACTGGGGATCAAACCTGCAATTGAGGCACGTGCCCTCAATTGATTGGAAATTGAACCCACAACCCTTTGGTCCAAAGGATGCTCTAGTGAGTCAAACCGGCCAGGGGCCACACTTCTTTTGATAAAACCACAGAGTCAAAACTTGCATTAGGATCATAGGCTTTATTTGTAGACTAGTGTTTCTATGCAGGTGGGAAATTTGTGAGAGCAATTTGTGATTGAAGGGATGCTCCTGGCATTTAGTGAATGGGGGCTAGTTGCCAGGCATCCTGTTGTGCACAGGACAGTCCTACATAGTGGAGTTAAAATGGTCCACTATACTTTCCTAACAAAAAACCACAATGAACATAACTTTTTACTGAGATGAAAGTGTGGGTGCAAGAGATTAGGGGCATAAGATCAAGAGTTCCTTTTAAGACATGTTGAGTTTGAGATGTCTACTGGATGTCCAAGTGGCAAGGTTGACTAGGTATCTGAATGTGAGGTTGAAGTCAGAGAGAGGTCTGAGCTAGAAATATAAATATGGGAATTGTCAAGTATTTCAAGTTATGGTCAAGTTGAATAGATCACCAGGGAAAATACTAGAGGACTTACATAGTAACGATTGAGATTTGGAATACTCAAGCATGAGTAAAGCACTGAGAATAGGAGATTGAGAAGGATTACTAACTAGGGAGGTTGGAGGAAAGCCAAATGAAGAAAGTGCATCAGGAACATGGAGTGATATATATTGATTCTTAGATTCAACATGAAGGTGTTAAAAATGGTTCACAGTGAGAATTGGAATGGCAAGAAGTGCATGACTAATTATGGAAGAAATAATGATCCTAGTTTTTTAGATCTCGGTATTTCATTGCAAAAGTTATATCTTTATATATTGCATCCACGTATGAATGAACGTGGTAGCAGTACGACAGAAGTTTTTATTGCAGTTTCTTTGGGGTGAGGCCTGATGACGTTTTGGTTTGTGTCAGCTCCATTTCTAAGGGCTGATTCAGCCATGTGTCCATGGAAAGAAGTCCCCATTGAAATTGGTAGACTTTGACTTTGGTCAGTATTACATAATCAAGAGGCCCTTGAAAATTTCCTCAGAACCTCTTTTCCAAAAAGATTAGTCAATTGTTTCCCAGAATAGCTCTCCTCATCCTGATGAGCAATATAATTTTTGATAATGTTAGTTACTCTTTCAGGCCCTTACTTCCTCTTCACCTTCAGTTCCACAAACACCTGAGCTAATCAAGTAAATGTGATAACACGATTAATTAATTTTGAGACTGACCCATGAACTTCAGTGATAATCTAGCATCTTTAAAGCTCTTGAAGCAATTAAGTATAATGCTTATCCTGCTTAATTGTTTATTAAATGGGAGAGTATATTAGTTCAAGGTTTGCACTGTGATTGCAGACTGCCTTGATTCAGATCTTGGCCTTCCCCTAATGAGGTGTGTGATCTTGGGCACATTTTGGAACTTCTCTTTGTCATGGTTTCTTTTTCTAAGAGTAGGGTTAATAACATTATCTACCTCTTGAGATTATTATGAGAATTAAATAAAATGATACATGCAAAGCACCTTGAGTAGTTCCTGGCATATGGTAAGTGCTTAGTAAATATTACCAATGGCTTTTTAAAGAGCTGTCAGGCATTTACTATTTTAAAAGTGAGAAAACCAAATCTGTTCTTCTTCCCCAAATAACATTGTCATTGCCAATGAATATTTGAGTTTGATTATGTGAATTGCAGTTATTTAGCCTTTTTTCAGTGGCTGGAAATGGCTTCATGTATTTTTGAAGATGGAAGAATAGAAGAAGTCTTCCCATCTGGCCTCGTATCAGTCTATCACTCTTGACACCTAAACAGAACTGTGCTTGTATGTTATTTATATTATTACTAATTAGGTGAGCTGAATTTTTAAAAAAGTGTGAGGACCGTGGTTAGCATCTACATTTGTTTTTTCTTGGACATTCTGTGTCCATGATGTCTCCTTCCAGCTGTGCAGTTCCATCTCTGCGCTCTGTCCCTCCACCCAAGTTTATAGAATCAAAATGAAGGAGAGTGTATCTCCCAGAGTAAGAAGGTGACGAGGCTTCCATGCAGTCAGCAGCACATTACCCATGGCGTTCTTTGTTGGCATGAGCTCATCCGCAGGGAGCTTGGCAATGTTTACCCTATAAAAAGAGCAGAGTTCTCCTTGGGTGGTGTGCCCACAGGACTTCCCTCCCAGCTCCTCTCATTTCCTTCTATACAGTAATTCAAGTATATTTTATAAACCATGGGAAAACGTGGCTTCTCTATTGAGAGCCATCTGGTGGGACAGCTCTTTAGTGCTCATAAAACTCTTTTAAATAGATGAGTCTAGGTTGGTGCTCCTAAGCAAACTAATGAGAAAAATATTCTTATCAGTGTCCTACAGATGAAGAAATGCTCTTGCCTGAGTTTAAGGGAGTCCAGGGACACAGGGTTAAAATTAGCAGTGAGCCCAGGTCCGCTGACTCTTCAAATCCTGTGTCCTTCCACTTTTATTGCTTTCCAGTCAGAGTCACCGAGCTCACTGAGATCCTGTCATGGGACCTGGACTAGTAGCCAAGCCACCTGTTCATTAGGAACTATATTCACAGAGTTAGAAGTTCAGATAATACCCTAAGATTTAACCCTGTTGTTAACTGTTGAAAACTTAACTTATTATTATTATTATTTTTTATATTTTATTGATTTTTTACAGAGAGGAAGGAAGAGAGATAGAGAGCTAGAAACATCGATGAAAGAGAAACATCAATCAGCTGCCTCATGCACACACCCCACCGGGGATACGCCCGCAACCAAGGCACATGCCCCTGACCGGAATCGAACCTGGGACCCCCCCCAGTCCACAGGCCGACGCTCTATCCACTGAGCTAAACCAGCTAGGGCAGAAAACTTAACTTTTTATAATAAAAGGATCTGGTTTCCTTTTAGCTATATTGTTCATTCTTCCTGGTTATGTATTATAAGCAGTTTCTAACTAACTTTTAAAGGTTAAGTTTAGAGGATGGGCTTTTTTTCATTTCATGTATACTTTGTCATTAAAGTTGATTTCATGTTGATAGATGTTCTTTTTCTTTCAATGTGGCTAGTGTTGAATAGACCTAGATTAAAACTCTTTCTGAAATTCTTGGAAGCGTGTAATTACCAGTTCTTATCCTGTACTTGCTAGGTAGGTGAGTGGTCTCAGGAAGAATAAAATGGTTCTATTTTTGAAACCATTATTTTTCTAAACCTCATTCTAAGTAAATAGCACATTTCCCTGTTGCATGGACAAACCTCAGACCTGTAGCATTGGTCTGAGGTATATGAGAGAGTGGACCTTTGTTGCTCATGGCGTTGTGTTTGTGCCTCTGCTCAGCAGATGCAGCCACAGCTGGCTGGTGCCATATGTCCAGTGACGTGCTGAGAGCTCATTCACTTCAGCAGCATTCACTTTGACAGCGACCTGTCTGTTCCAAGATCATACTCAGTGACCAGTCCCTACTGAGTTCTGAAAGATCCAAAGTCCTGTGGTAATACCAAATAGCTATTTTTATTAAGTAATTATTGTATGTCAGGTTGTATTTAAATCTTCATATTCATTGGTATTTAGCTCTGACAGATTTAAGGATTATTATTCCCATTTTAGAGTCAAGGAAACTAGTAAATTGTCTGAAGTCATACAGTTATTAAATGGAGAGGTCAGGATTTGAACTCAGGGCTACCCGACCAACCGCTCCCATATGAGGGATGGCAAAATATATCATGTGTATGGTACCTGTGCCCATGGCAGACATAACTAATTGATCGTGGTGTGTGTTCATGCTGATACTACTAATAATCCCTTTTGGCATTGCATTCTTGGCATCTCTAGGCAGTCACGTCGTAGCAAGATGAAACATATGTGCTATCCTTGACTGTAAATGTGTCTGTATTAACTTTCTTCTAAAGTCTAGTGTGTGTTTAAATTGGGCTTATTTGCTTTTAGAAAAGAATAGTCTAGCTGACGTTGCTCAGTGGTTGAGCGTCGACCTATGAACCAGGAGGTCATGGTTCGATTCCTGGTCAGGGCACATGCCCAGTTTGTGGGCTCAATCCCCAGTGTGGGGCGTGTGGGAGGCAGCCAACCAATGATTTGCTCTCATCATTGATCTCTCTCTCTCTCTCTCTCTCTCTCTCTCTCTCTCTCTCTCCCTCCCTCTCTCCCTCCCTCCCTCCCTCCCTCCCTCTCTCTCTCTCTCTCTCTCTCTCTCTCTCTCATCTCTCTCTCTCTCTCCATTCCTCTCTGAAATCAATAAAAATATATTAAAAAAGAAAATAAAATAATAAATAAATAATTGCATGTTCTATACCAGAAACAGGCATGCTAATATATTTCTATAGAAGTATTGATTGGTCTGGATAACCGAATTTAATGCAGGTTAAATTCCACTTAAAATAGCATAAAAAGTCATCTTTATGTCAAAAAAAACCTAAGGCAAGTTGATT